CTCCTACCTGCCTGGGCTGACCCGGCTGCTGCCAGGGAAGGTTCAGCACATAAGCATTCCCTCCCCTGAGCCTTCTTCCACACCGCTCACAATCTTTTGGATTATCATCATCAGTCTTTTGAGTCATCTCTGTTTTGAGCTGAAGTGTATCAGTCCGTTCCACTGTTCCTGTGAAGGGATCTTCCATACTTGTGATCAGCCTTGTTTCCTCTCTCTGCAGGGTTTCCCATTCTGCTTTCACACTTTGAAATGTTACCTATAAAATTTGAGGTTCAACATAGAGTTCATTTTTTTTCCCCTGCTTTTGTTACTTGCTTTTGAATAGTCATCTCAGCTGCCTATATGAATCCCAAAATACCGTGCTAGGATTGTATTTTCTTCTGTATTGATAAATACAAAGTGTTAGATTGGATTTAATTTGTCCTTAGCTTACCTTAATGGATTTAAAATGCCTTTTTTTCTGTTTCCTGGGCTTTGGGAAAGTTTATTATCTTTGAGCTAACGGGAAGGCATTTTAATGTCCAAACCTACAACAATCTGTGGACAGATTCAGTAGCGCTAGTCGTCGCACTAGTTTGCATTACTGCTTTGTGAGGAAAGCATAGTATGGCATATTTATTTGCTATGGCAGCAGATTCTTATTTTCAGGACCTTGTCCACAGTCAGGCGGGTTTAGCAGGAAGGTTTAGCTTACATTGTACTCTGCTGGAATATTTAAGCTTACTGTCCTGTGTGGAATGTTTTTGGATAATCATATTTATTCTGATCTCATTTTTTAGGATCCTTCTGGTGATCCATCGCAACAGGAAGCAAAACAGAGGTATAAATGAGAACTAATGACTTTTAGTTTTAAATCTAATTGTGTTGAACCTTTCACTTTTTTTTGAGTATTTAATTTTTTTTTAATACCTGATTTTTTTGTTGTTGGAAAACACACCAACAAAAAGCAGCTGAAATGTCAAAGATTTAATCCAAGGATAGCTAAAAATCTGATGGATCCAAGTGTGGCTCCCAGGCAATGACTATATTGGATGATCTACCACAGAGGTGTCAGGTGGTCTGAACCCTGACTGGGGTGGGAGGGCATGGAGGAAAACAGCAGTAGCAGCTCATTTTTACTTTGGGACTCAGTTAAGTGCAACAACCTAATGACCCTTAGTGATATAATAGGATGCTTTTGGGAAGCATCATCATTCCCATTGTCGTACGCTTCTGGAATTCAGAAACCTTGGCTCTTCAGGGTTGGTAGGAGTTGATCCTAAGAAAATCGTGAAGACTGGCAGAACTTTTTCCAAACTGCAGTTTTGTCTGAGTGGCGAGTTTGGGTTTGGCTCTGTTGGTGCAATGGGAACATGCTTTCCTAGTTGATTTGATTTTTCTGGGACATCTATTGCAGTTAAAAATATGAAACAAAATAATTCGTGTCAGAGCTTAGTGCAGAAACAGTGTTTAGTATTTGCACTAAGTAGAATATTGAAAATAAGTATTTAAAGAGCAGGACTTTGCACACAAAGTTTGTATTAACTGAAATGCATAAACTAATATGCCAGTTCTGCAAATACTTAGTCAAATATTGTAAGTATGTGAAGACTTATTGAAAAATTCTAAATAAATAATGAGGTGGTTCTGTCTTGCAATTGCATGGACTATTCCTTTTGCCTGCTGTACCATACACTGCCTTTGGTGAAATCCCACGTGGAACTGAATGTAGAATTTTACAGTGGGTAGCATGGCTTTTGTTTTTAAGATGTAGTAATAAGGTGTAACTTAAGTAAACTCCATCTTGATTTCTTGGAAGATGTCAGCTATGTAACTTTGTCAACATAGGTAGAGCTACTCATGACAGAAAATGCTATAAAAGAAATCACGTATATGTAAGGTTTGAAGGGACCTCAAGAAGTCGCTTCCATGAATCAAAAGTCTTCTGTAGTTTCCTGGTTTGTGGATATTATTTTACATATTTGAAATCCCACTTTTAATAGGTGGTTAATTTTTCATTGCAGGGAAGCAGAGATAAGAAATACTATTTTAGCTCAAGTTCTTGATCAGGCAGCTCGTGCAAGATGTAAGTATCCAAGTGACTTTCTAATAAAAAATTCTCATCTAGTGTATTCTTAAATCAAGCACGTAATGTGGTTGTGTAGAGGCCAGACAAAAAATACTGTTGATGGGAAGATAAAGCTATTACAGCTTTGCAGTTGGTGATATCAGTGATTGGAGGGGAGAGGTTAGCTGACATCTGAATGATGTTAATCAAAATTTTCTTTTTTAATTAATAGTAGGAATTGTAGTGAGAGTCAAAATTAGTTAATCTAATTAGGAACAAATATTTAAAAGCAAGAAATGTAACTATCTTGTATCTTTATATAAATGAAAATGCCTTTTTCATTATTTCATGACCCCGGCATGAAGAAGATGGTTTCATAGGGACATCTGTCACTTTTGAGTTACTAGTGAAGGTATTTGAATGTGTTTTAAAATAAAATGAACAGAACCTGTTTTTGTTGCAGTAAGCAATTTAGCACTTGTGAAACCAGACAAAGCAAAAGCAGTAGAGAATTATCTTATACAGATGGCAAGATTTGGACAACTAGCTGGAAAGGTCAGTGATGTTTTTCTAATTCTTTCTCGCATATATTCATTTTCAAACCTAATTCACTCTAAAAAAAATGGATGGTTTTAATATCTGTAAATTAAATAACTGAAAAAGGCAATTGAGAGCTTCTAAATACTATTATATAATTCTCTCAAACACCTTTTATAAGAAGGTGAAGTGTCATTCAGTTGTTTGATACTAAGCACCTCTCAGAATACATTTATGTGGCTTTTCTTTTGCCTTCCTAGGTATCAGAACAAGGTTTGATAGAAATACTTGAAAAAGTGAGTCAGCAAACAGAAAAGAAAACAACAGTAAAGGTAAGCTTCATTTCCTAAATGTAATTTTAATTTATTATAAAATAGAGCAGAACATTGCATGTATTGGACCATTGCAGTTCAGGGTAGCACTTGGTATTTACTGCCTCTCTTACATGCACGGGTAAGTGCTGGGATTAAATCATAACAGTCCTTATCAGCAGTGTAACTTAAGCTATTAGCACTGGGACATCAGTGTTTTGTTGCGAGACAGAACCTGCCCTGTACCACAGTGTCAGGTGGGGACTTGGTGGGGTCAGTTGTGATGGGGTGAATGTTCTGCTCCAGTATAACTTATTCATTGTCAAATGCGTCGAGTTTGAAAGGCTTGCTCTGTGTTGGATTTACTGTGACCCTTCTATTTTCACTTCATATATTTCATTTTAGTTCAACAGAAGGAAAGTATTGGATTCTGATGAAGATGATGATTATTAAGACTACTGTAAGACTGTCTGCCAAACAAAAGGCCTGGAAAAAGGCAACATACTGTTACCGGGCAGAATGCAAGATCTGAAAATGTTTACGCTTCTTTACTTTTCTTTTTTTTCTTTTTTTATAAAAAGGCCAACAAATGAACTTGTCTTGTAAAATAAATCTGAGAAGGGGATTTTTTAAACTTAAATTTTTGTAGTATAAAAGGCCTGAGCAGTGTGGGGTTCCCCACTGCTTTGTTAGCATGAACATTTTGTTGCCCCTTACTCAGTGTGTAAGCTATGCTTTCAGCAACTTCACACACTTAACTTGCTGCTACTGGAGATACCAAAACATGAGAAGGAGCTGTGTGTAAAGCTGGGAACAGCCACTCCCTCTAGGAATTTAAAGACTTACCTCCAGGCTCTAAATCACAGAAGTGTTAGAAACCAGGTTTCTTGAGCCCTGGTAGGAAGCTCATCCAGCAACTCACTGGCTCTCACATCCTTACTGGAAATTTATAAAATAAAGTGAAGGTATCAAAGTAGTGTTTGGATCAGAGGACTTCATATTAGGCAGTCTGTAAAGAAACTGTAACCAGCATACCATTGAACCGTTTCCCTATAAAATAATCAAACTATCTCAAAAAAAGCAAGTTAACTGTGTAATACAGCACTGTTCAGACACTTGGTATCACATATTCTTAAAACTACCTCCATTTTTATCAAATGGCTGGAGTGTTTCTTACCTTGAAAAAAAAGACCATTTCCTGAACTTTCTGCAACTCCTGCATGCATAAAGTAAAACTGAACTTGTGCTACACACTTATTAAAAAATATGGTTATGGAAGTAACTAGGATAAATACTGTAACGTGCTGATAAACACTCTACCACCACAAACCCCTTTTCTGACATAATTTAACAAGAACGTGTATGATCCCAACAGCAGTGTTTTTTGGAACAGAATAAAATTGTTTAAAGTGAGCACTAGTGGGTGTTTTTCATTGTGTGTGAGTGTGGTTAAAAAGTATTTAAACAGTTGTTATTTCTGTTTCATTTGGACTAGACCGGGCATTTTGTTTATCTATATTTGTAAGTAGGATTCCTTAACTTTAGTAATATGATGGGTGTATGCTGAACTTCTTTAGACCAATGACCCCTTTCCCAGCGTTAAGAGTTTCAAGCCAAGGTGTGGTGATAGATGGTTTAAAAGTTTTCCCGTTGGGGCTACAGATACATTCCAAGCATCCATGCTTCACATTCCCATTCCCAAGTTTATCAAATTCTACTTAACAACAACATAAGCTTTATTGCCTTGCTGTTCTTCTAAAAAAGGCTGTTCCAGAATCTCAGTTGTCAAAATGAAGTAATGTTTTGGATTTATTTTAACTTGCAACCTTTTGGAGATTAAACTGGCCTGTACAGTAGGGGAAGCTTCCAGGGGTATTGCCTTCAAATCCTATTCCATTTTAGCCTTTGATCATCATATCTTTGAATATTAAGATATTTTTTAATTACAAGCTTGGTTAAGCATGTCAAAGGAAACTTGCAAACTATTTCATTTACCTAAATAATTTGTTAGTTATTATCTTTCCATCATGTAGATTATGGTGGAACTGTTTGGCATTCAAGTGCTTTTTTTTTTTTTTAATACATACACTGTACATCAAAAATGTCTGGAAATAAGCTTTATCCTGGACTGAACACTGAATAAAACTGAAGCATGGCTCGGTCACCTAAGTAGCCTCAGGCTCACAAGGACAACTGTTTTGATACTGTAATAGAAAACTCCGGTTAATTCTAATGTATTTGTATTTTTTCTGTAGAAATCTAAAGAAAAAAATATTCTCCTGTTAGATGTCTTAAAAATACAGATTTTCTTAAAAAATACGGTAGGCAATATGCACCAAGTCTGCGTTAAGTTGCCATAGTAAGCTACTACTATTTTTCCTTGCAATTTGCTGTTTCATTTGGGAGGGAGAAGTTTTTCAAAGGCAAAGGCTACTTGAACACTTGGCCAATTTTTAAAATATAACAGTATTGAACAAGTTGTTTCCCATAACCTGTTGGTATTCAAAATCTGTTTTTAATAGAAAAAAGCAAGTAACTAAATTCAGATTTCACATCTTCTCATACTTAATCTCTAACCCTTTCAAAGTTATTTAATAAACTATCTTAAAACCTGTTTCCAAAGCTCTTTGACCATACTATGCTTATTATTAAGGGTTAAGAAAAAAGACTTGATAGTGAACTTAGTGTCCTTCTAACTCATGTTCTGTGGTTACAGCAGTATATTCTGTACTTACACTCTTATAGCATAGTATCACCAGTATTGAAAAGCTAATAAACTGATTTTTCTCATCCATATTATCAAGAAGTCATAAGAATCATTTCGTTAAATGCACAGTATAATTAAAACACAAGCAAGATTCTCACTATGTAGTTTGGAAATCAGATGTATGAACATTTATTTGTATCTTAAACTTTCTAAGTAATATCTAGGTTATTCTTGCTACAGGTAAGGATAAGTGACTTCCTCTAGGTCATCTTTATGTCACAAGAAGAAAAAAAAATAGTTCATATCTTTTTCCTCTTGGTCTTTTGGCTTGTAATAGCTGACCATCCATCCTACCTTTTTTTTTTTTCACTGGGAATGTAGAACTAGAGAAGGAAGTTACGTGAAAAGGTTCGGTTTCACCAACAATTCTATATTGTACACCTCTGTGCCTTAAATCCAAAAGCACACAACCTAATCATAGTAATCCATGAATGTAGGAGGGAAGAAGGTCATATTGAACTTGAGAGTAAATTCCAACAGATCCCTCAATTTACCCACCGACACAACGTGAAGCCGTCAAATGCCTACAAAAACAAAAGCAAGGAAATCATAAAAGACTCAATGCTTTGAAAAAAGCACTCAAAGGAAACAGCATTTTCAACAGTTATTTTACTAGTTTTTTCTTTCCATCATTTGGCACAAATCCAAGGCACATTAGAAAATCAGATGAACTCATAAATTATTAGAAAAATACACACATGACCCTCATGTCCATATGTGCACTTATTGCACATTTTACCTCTTAGATTAAAAAATTATTTGAAAAAAAATCACCAGTATGTCTTCCACCTTTGTACTTTGCCAGGCAGTTTCCTAATACCACAGTTAAAAGAAACAGAATTATTCATAGAAATATAGTTTATGAAATAAAATGCAAGCCAGATGTGACGAGCCAAGGAAAAAAAAAACCAAACCAAACAAAACAAACAAAAAAAGCCAAAACCAACCCTGCACTTAGACACCTGGCTTGTGCTATTTACACATTCTCCTACCATAACCCAAACAGTTAGAAAATGACGTCCAAATCTAAGCAGCCTTCTCATAGTTACTTGTGAGCTTTCAATTCTTCAGTCATCACCTCTAGGAATGGGGTAATATTTGGCCTATTCCAACAAATGCTTACTGATGTAAGAAGTACCTTTCGTAACTGGAATTTCACCTTGTAAAAGAGCAGTCCAGAGCAGGCTCCTGAGCAGCAGTTTTGTCTGCAGATGTTGCCCAGGTTCAAAATCAGGAATATTTGTGCATTTTTGCATGACTTGCTTTAGAGGAAGGGGGGGAAAAAACAACCAAAAAAACCAAAAACAACCCACAACTTAAAATAATTTTTGTGTCCTTACACACACTTGCTTCTGCATATTTTTTTGATTAGGCTGTGAACAGTGAGTCCAAAGTTTTTTCCCAGTATCCTGGCTCCTGTATAAACTTGATCTTGCAGATCCAATACAGGGGAGCATTGCAAAGAAATCAGCAAGAATTGCATCCCTTCACATTAATAGCGTGTATACATACCGTTTTCCCAGCTACTGAAATATACAGAAATATATACTATAATGGTTTGTAACATTACAATAAAAATAGAGACATTTCAATTACCTCTGACAATAAATACCTTGTTATCCAATATATCTTTATATATATAAA